CCCAGCCGCTGGGAGCACACGCTGTTCATGAATGGCCACAAACTCCTGAAAGATTGATTCAGGCTCGACATTAGGAAAGTCTTCTTCACAGTCAGGGTGTCCAGACTGTGGAATAAGCTCCCTCCAGATGTGATGTAATCACCTACCCTGGAAATCTTCAAGAGGAGACTAGACCCCACCTTGCTGGGGTCACCTGACCCCCAGTTATCCTTCCTGCTTGATGCAAGAGGCTGGACCCGATGATCTTCCAAGGCCTCTTCTGGCCTTACAATCTATGAATCTAGTACAGCATTACAGTGTCTGTATACAGACAGTTTACTTGTAATCTCTGCTTATTTCCTTTCCAGTGGTAAATATTAATTCGGCCTGAGACAAGACAAAAAGAGATGTTTTGACCTGTGTTTCTTTATGTGCTCCATCAAAAACCTGTTATCTAGCATTACATGTCCTGTGTGCTTTAGATCAGGGGTCTGCAATGTTTTTTTGGGCAGAGTGCCAAAAACACCCACAACCTTGACTTGTAAGATGTTGGCATGTCAGGGACAAATGGCAAGCGAACTAGGAGGGAACTGATCCTTGTGGTGGTGCAGCCCTGGCCCCATCCCTGAGGTGTGCATGCCAGGCAAAAAATGCCTTTGCATGTCATGCTCTGGGACACATGCTAGGGGTTGCCTACCTCTACTTTAGATTTTTCTCTTGCACTTTTCACCTGCTTGATTGCTTGGGGACCTATTGTAGCAGCCAGTAGGAAGTTGGTTTCTGTCCAGGTCTGCATACACCTCTCTTAGCCTGCTAACAATCCTTATAAGCAAGTGCATTTTTAATAGCTTTTCTCTTGATCTACTTTTCGGAGATGGTGGAAGAGCTTGCATTTTGCTTGAAGAGTAGACAGCTTGAATGCCTGAAGAAGATTCAAAAACTGTTTCAGTTGTTACTTCAATTTTTCAGGTATTTTAGAGGGAGAATACAATTTGCATTTTCAGCAGGTGCTGCATGTCGGAACTCATTACCCACCTAAGAGGAGAAAGAGCTAAGGAAATCATGTGTGTCACAATTTTGAAGATACTCTAAATTTACATTTTCTCAGTATTTACAAAAATATTTTGAAATTGGGAAATTTTCTCCCTGCATAGAGTTTAGTATTAATGGGACCACTGGTCAGGTTTGGTGGCAAGAGCTGGAAACTTAAATCTGTAGATGGACATCCAGATACCTGTTGTTTAGCACCTACCTCCACCTTTCCTACATTGTGATAACATTTGGGTTGCCACACCCATAGCTACTGTTTTTTTTTTTCTACCTGCATACAGGATCAGGACCTAAACCAGTATCTGTATGTCTAAAATGAACACTTTCCAAGTGCCTCAACACATAGTCAGGGTTCTCACTTTAGCCATCTATGTCTCATAAATGGGCCTAATATTAGCATGTATGTGACACTTTGCACCATTGAAACATTTGGCAAATCTGAACTCCTCAGACATAGGCAGCAGAAGGCTGGGGCTAATGGGGCTCAGCTCCCCAAAACGTGTGGCAGTGGGTAGGGTCACACAGCAGCCTGGCCATGGGCTCTGGGCACCTGCAGCAGGAGTGGGAAGGGACACGCATGCAACCAGGATCGCAGCCCAGCGTGTGGATCACTGGGTGCCCAGCAGGGTAGGAAAGTATCTGTCTGTCTATTCTGTGAAGGGGAAGGGGCTTGTGGAGGGGTGGAGGGATGCAGATCAAGGCACCCACGTTGAGGTAGGGAGTGGGGCAGAGGCAGGGGTTCAGGTGAATAGGGCCTCAGCTGGGCTGTGTGATGGGACATTCGGACCCTGGGCAGCTCATCCAGGGGCATGGGGGGCTCCTGTCTCTGTGTGCACTCTGGCAGGGGCCTGGGGGACATGTGCCTTCCCCATCTTTGCGCAGGGCAGAGGCAGCTGCAGCTGTGTGCTGGGCTCGGCGCACTGCTGCAGCTGGACCGGGAGCAGCGCAACACCATGTACTTAACCCTGCTGGGCTGCACCACACCCCCTGCCCACCCAGCGCAGAACGCACATGGCATTGTGCGGCTTTCGAGGCAGCAGGACGCAAAGCCTAGCCTGCTGCAGCAGCCGCCTCTGCCCTGCGCACAGATGATGGGGGCATGTGGCCCCTGGACCTCCCCAGGGTGTGCACAGTGACAGGAGCCCGCCTACGGCCTTGGACGAGTCGCCTGGGCTCTGATTGTCCCACCACCCGGCCAGGGCCCATTCACCCCTTCCCCTGCCCCACACCCTCCTGAGCCACTGGGCTCTCAATCGGCCCCCCGCCCCTTCCCCCACAGACTTACCTGCTGGGCGAGGGTGAGGCACTCAGGCCCCTCCCCCCAATAATTTTTCTTCCTCCACCTATGTCCTCAGAGCGCTCCTGATTGGTAGATAAGGAAGGAATTTTTCCCACTATTCCAGAATGGGAAACCTGGGTGACATCCAGTCTAGGACCCACTTAGTATCAATGCTTGTACTGAATTATAGTTTCATAGTTGGTCGGGTCGGAAGGGACCTGAGTAGATCATCAAGTCTGACCCCCAGCCACGGCAGGAAAGAGTACTGGGGTCAAACAAAATCAAATGCATTATGGGAATATGCATTTATTATTATGCATATTTATTATGGGAATGGAGCTTATCTGGTACTTGAACAAACAAAGGCTATGTAAGTATGCCATAATAAGTATTTTGCACCGATATCCTACACACTTTTAATGTACCCAACACCACGGTAGCTGGATGCCACATGCATGCAATCCTGGTTTCTTTCCCTTTAAGCATCACACTACATACCATTCATGACTAAGCCTCATAAACCCGGCTTTGAGACTGGGATAAAACTCCTGCCTGATTTTATAGGCAACTGAGATGCAAAAATTAGATGAATCATTCAAGATCACAGAGGAAATATGTCACTGTGCTGAAAACAGAATGCAGGTCTCTGATCCCAGTACAACATCAACTTCAAAAGCCATTCTTCTTCCAAGTGCCCATCTGTGCACTTAAATGGAGATGCATGCACCAGAACCAGGCTCTCAAATCTCCTCACCCAACTCTGCAATTTTATATTCAAAAACATAAAAGTAGATAAAAAGAAAAAGTACTTTGCACTGCCTTGAAGAATTTGGCTTAAAGTTATTATCAGCAGAGCTGGCTGGAACGATATGCATAGCTTCCATCCTGGATGGTGAGACAATATACCGTCCTTTCACACTGCAGTTTAAAATCAATGCCACTATTGCCCTCATAGTGCAAGAAGCCCTTTGCAAAAAACAAAAATACTTTTACAAGCTCCTAATTGTCATGTTTTGTGCTTGCATCTCTCACCACACCTATACTCTTTGTTATAACATTTAGGTTTTAAATGTATAAATCACATGTTGTTATTGGTGAAACAAAATGTGAGAGCTTCTCAATTGCTGCTGAAAATCCCATATATGTTTGGCAAAATACAATTCCTGGGGCACCAGGTGCACAAACCCTGACAAACTTTTCCATCCACTGGCTGTGTTGGCATGCTAGTGTGTGGCAGCAGCTGCCAAGCTCCTGTCCTGGAGAAGTAGCAGCAAAACATATGAAGTTGAAAGGGAACCTTTGCCTCTCAGCTGTCTTGTTTACTCTAGACCCTCATTGAGGTGGATGTTTAGCACCTTGTGCTTTATGAAAGTACTGAATAAACCTTCCCTAGTATCAGGACAATAGAGCACCTAAGCTATCTTATATGATGTTTTCTTAGTGTGCTTTAACCGGGGGCGGGGGGAATACAGCCCATGAGCTATATCTGCCTTGCCAATTGATTCTGTCCGGGGGGAATACAGCCCATGAGCCATATCTGCCTTGCCAACTGATTCTGTCCGGCTTGCAGTGCCAGCAGAGGCTGGAGCCAGAGCTGGAGTTACCAGCCACCTGTGGGTTGGTTAGGATCAGTTGACAGGCTTGTTGGAGGCGGTTCCAGCTCCAGCCTCTGCTGTCTACC